ACTAAGAATTTTGTCAGGACCAGTCCGACCTCCAATCACAAACATGCAATTTTCAACAACAGAAGCTGTATGGCCCAATCGTGGAGTGGGAGAAGCACAATCAACAGTGCTAACAATTTCAAGATTGCCAGAATATGGATCAAGCAGCAACAAACCATTTCTCCTGGCATGTCTTCCCAAGCCTCCAAAGCCACCAAAAATGATAAGTTTCTTGTCACCAGCCTTATTCAATACACAAGCTGAGTGGCCCCAAAGGAAAAGCTTCTCGGCTGGTTCACCGACAATATCAAAATGGCTAATTGATAGACCAGAACCAGGAGAACTCACAGACCCTGCCAACCATTCAAAGATTCAGACTTTTTCAAGATGGCTGCAAGCTTCATTCGTCGGCAACAAACGGTCCCCGCTATCAGCAATCAAGGAATCAGTGGACAGCAAAACTTCGAAAAATCTCTGAGTTCTCTTCCTATTAGCTTCCATCTTGTCATTTGCGACCCGAACGAGATAACGAACATACTCGGGCGTGACCATGACAGTGCGCGTATCCCCCAACGGCACCTCCATGCGAATGGAGCAGCGAATGGCGATGATGACGCGCTTCTTGGCATTGGTAATGCCACTCTCTCTAAAGCCGCAGGAGATGGCGAGGGAAACGAGGGAGTGAGCGGCGGAGAGGTCTCTGCACTCGAGAGCAATTATGAGGGGCTCGAATCGGAAGACGAGTTCGGAGACGAAGGGGGAGGGAGTTGGCTCGGAGGGGAAGAGGATAGAGTTGCCATGTCATAATTTCTCAAATTAAATAAAAATTCCACGTAATAAAAATTTCACGTAACTATGCAACACGTCAGCACCAACTAACGCCGTTTGTTACAATTTAACGGTTAGGATAAAATGTGTTCATTTTTACAAAAAATATGACCCAATTGAGACAGAAAAAAACTTGAGGACCCAACTGAGATTTTCATACAAACTTGAGGACCAACGGAGGGTTTAAACCTTTTATTTACTTTCATAATTTTGAATTGTATATATATACTTTCATTTAAATGATTTATTTATGTTTTTTCTTAATTGTTTAATTACATACATATCATTTTTTTTCAATTTTACTTATTCATTCATGTTAATTATATTTATTATTCTTCATTAATATATTTCCCAAATTTTTTATTATTATTTAAATTTTTGTAATAATACATTTTTATTTTTATTTTTTAATGTATTTTATATTTGTTTTTTTAATAATAACATTAATGAATACAGTAATTAATCAATAAACTTTTGTTGTTTATCGAAAAAAATAATTTATTTTGGAAAAAAGTGAATCATCACTTTAGAAAACTAAAACGGGAATTATACGTTAGTTTTGGTCTATTTATTTTGTTCATTGCTTTTTAATTATTTGCCTGCACTGCACGACTCCCGTCTATCTATTTTTCTTTAATTTTATAAACCCAAATCTTTAGTCATCCATGTCAATTCAAATCATTCTCATTAATTGTTTGCTAAATTATTTTCAAACACTAGATTTTTTAAAACTTCCTCTCATAGGAAGCCATCAACTTTACAATTTAGTTCAATAAAACTAACTAATGATCATGTTTAGAAATAAATATATTATTAAATAACTTGTAAAAACTTAAAAGTATTCAGTATTATTTATGTAATAAGCAGGATTTAAAATTATTTCTTTTAATAGACTTTTCAGTCCATCTTTAATCTTCTGGTAACATAAATACAAAAAAGCATCTGATATCTAATTTCTTGTCCCTGTGAGTTCATTTAATTTCAGGATACAGATGAATAAACACGTTAAGCACCTTGAGATAAAACGATGAAGAAAGAAAGAAAAAAGTATAGATATGATAAATGACAGATGAAAAGAAGAGTGAAATGCAAAGAGTAATAGACTGTGTGATATATAAGTGTCTGTCTCAACATATTAAAAAATTTTATAAAGGAAATTACACTAAATTCGGAAAACTTACACGAGCAGAAGACTGAAACATAAAAGTAAGGAATAATGTTTGGTGACCATCCAATGCTAAATCTACACCTTTTAGAGAAAAAAGAAATACAACAGAAATGCTAAATTTACACCCAGAGAAATGAGAGGCGTCAAATAAGTGTATCTAGTGTTAGTGTGCCAATATATTATCCCTTTGGGAAAGGAAAAACAACGACGAATGAAACAAGCATAAACTTTTTCTATATGTTGTTAGAATAATAAAACTGAAGAAGCATAACTCAATTACAGTTACATACATATGCAAGTTATGCAATCAAATGAAAAGGACTTAACTATGCACTAATCTATCTATAATCAATAAGTGATATCAGTTGTGGGATTCCATGACTTAAGTGGTCATGGGTTAATTTCATAACTAACCAATGACAAAAATGGATTTGATCTCGCAGCAACAAACAGGGAAGAAGCTCCATTCCGCTCTTTCATAAGAGTTCCATCCACCAAATTATGAGTTCCAATCAATCAATTCAGAGTACATGTCAACAACAGAATATGGTGGTTTTTGTTGGGCTCAGATACACATATATATAACCTGTATTAGCAAAAGAACTAAACAATGAAGTAGCATGCTCGATTGAACACATGGAATGGTGAAAACATACATGCATACAATAAAATCAGTCAAATTAATATCTTCAATACTTCAGTTCCAGGGGAAATATTGAACGTATTATACCAGCACAAATATAAAGATATTCCTTTGAAGTTTCTGATCAAAGCAAACATTTGTGTTAAAACTATGCAAAATATATATATAAAGTATCTAATTATTAAAACCTAATCCTAGTCAGAGTAGTTACTTGGAGCTGATAAATTTACCTGTATAATTCTTGGAGCGGCACAGCCTGCGCCCGTCCGGATCAGACCATCATAATTGAGCCAAAAAAATCCATGGGGAACTTTCAAATATCTATAGCAGGAGGTGGTAGTTTCCAAAAATTCCAAGAGTTAAAGTCCTCCTGCAAAGAAGGTTCAGAAAAAAGATTGATTGGCAAAAAGCAATTTACAACATGCAGCTTTTCAAAGAAACCTTTAATAGAACGAAATTTACATTCAAGCAAAATAATGTAACAAAGATTTAAATCACACAGTAGGAAAATATAAAAAGGTCCATCCCATCTCTCTCACACAACACTAAACATGATTTGCATTGAATTTTAAACGTTCCGAAGACCACAGTACCAATCCCCAAGGCTGACATCATGAACAAGAAAATAAAAAGATAAAGCTTCTTCAAGATTAAACCTGTTCATTGGAGTTCGTAGGGGGGAATATCCCATTCACGAGAGCATGCAGAGAAGCATATGATTTTGAGTCAACGCGACGGTTTACAACAACCTCTCCCTGTGAAATTAAAAATAAGAATAGTTTGACAATCTAAGAACATTTTAGAAACTTCAAACAAATATTTAAAATTTTAAAAAATAGATGAATTATTTACCCTGGGATTAATTATGAAGATTTTTCCCAAGGGAATTCCAACCTTAAGGTAGCTGATTTCATCCGTATCCCTATTACCAAAACCAGCATAGAAAGGATTGCAATCAGAAGGAAAAAGATCCTTGATGACCTGATGACATAAAAATTCAAATTGACTTTTAATAACATTGTGAATGACGAGGTTGAAATATATTAGAGTATGTTAATTTAATTTGTGGTTGTACGAAACTAACCTCTAAGCATGCAATTTTGAATTCGTGGGGAACCCTCCTAATAACTGGAAAAGAGAGAAAAAAAAGAAAGGAAAATGATTGTCTTAGACCAGAATTATATTGATGAGGCCCGGACATTTCACATGCTGCAGCCTTGAACTTTGATGAATCCTTATACTAATTCATTCATCAAATTAATTGGCCAATAAGTTATAAGAAAACATCGAAAATCATAATAGTCCTAAATATATCGGTCACACCTCTACATGGTAGTTTCTTACACGATCTGGAATAAAAAAAAATCAGACTCAAGCCATAGAAAAATCCAAAACTTCTTCATTTATGGCATGCAGAGTGCTTGTGTCTTCGTATTATCTAAGGGAATCTAAGTGGAATGTTGTCATTTTATCCCATTTATACTATTCGAAGAGGTTCCTAATTCAATACTATACAATAACCCTATCATTCAAAGGACATCTATTATTTAAGGACAAAACAGCGCACAAGAGAGTCCAGCCTCCAGATTTCCATTTCCAGCTTTGCCGAATCCGCTAGTTCGCTAGCTAAATTACTTGAATTTCAACTTACAACTTCAAGAAGACATTAAACAAGAATTTTTTATTTATTTGCACTAGATTCTCTACTCTAGGTTTAATCAGTACGTTTAGATGGGAAATTTACAGAAGACCCAGTAAAGTGTTAGATTGTTCAAGAACGACTTTTTCAACAAGTTTAATTACCCTGTTTCTTAATAATAAGCCCGTGAAATCAAAGTTCAAGTATCGTCAAAGACAATCGACATTCATACAAAAAAGTTGTACCACTTGGAAGAATGGGAACAATAAGAAGCAGCAGAGACGAAAGAGACGTTTACCTTCCCGATATAGAGAAGGAAAAAGTCCATCAGGAGAAATAACAACAGGACCATCGGGTAAAACTTTTCCATCCTGCAATTTATAAAATAAATACGAAAATGTAAATGAGTTTCTCTCCTTCCAAATTTTGTTGTCCAAATGGATTGGAAAATGATTACTATATTTATACATGACCTGTTTAAGATTAACTAGGAACTGTCGTGTAAGATAGGCCTGAGAAATTGAACGAGCACTAAGAAAAAGAAGTTGGTAACCATTCTCCTGTGTATGTGAAATTGACAAGGAAAAGACCATGAAAGACTCAAAACAAGGTGAAAAGAGATCAAAAGAGTTATTATGGGCAAGGCAATTTACAGTTCCCATTATTAAACTCCTCAGAAAATTAATCATATCAGAATTAATAAAACTTTTAAAATAAAAGTAAGCAATTTCGTGGATTTAACAGATAAAACAACCAATTGTTTGTTTTGAGCATACCTAATCCCTACCCAAAAACTGCCCATACGTAATTATGTATAATCACTATATTTAGAGGATATAACCACAATATATGACATTGTATCAGTCTCAAAACATCTAAATAACCACATGGCCAAGATAAACAAACCTTAATAGCGGAGTATAAATGTGCAACACCTGTCTGTGACCAGTCAATACCAACCAAAGGCATGAACTGACCAAGAACATCCGACCTGAATGACATGAAACAAGACAGAAATTACAATTGACAAACTACAGGGTTAGATATTTCAAAAATAGACGAGAAGCAGAAGATGTGAAAAGCATATCAGGATACTGAAAGTCCTAGCATTTCAAACATTTTCTATTTGTTTTCTGTTGTCCATCTTGTTTTACTTCCTTATGTTCTACTCATAATGTACTTGGCATTCCAATAACAACTAATTTTCTAAAATATACTAACCCATACTTATCATCTCAACTTGTGAAACTAATTCTAATCCGTAAACTTTGAAGGTGTAACTATAGTTGTGAAACTAATTATACCTTCCAACTTTAGAATAAATAATCATGACTAGACGGACCAAACAAGGATCTTTATCTACTGAAAAAATTTAGATCCAATCGGGGCAGTTTCAATGGCAACTGGCCAGCCTAGGTTTTCTGGCTCGATCATCTGACTACCCCGAGTGAATGGCAAATATGTATACTCTCACCTTGTAATTGTACCATCCACATCAGAGATCACTATGCGAGTGTTCCATTTCCACAGATATATTCGAGCATCGACCTGCCGGTTAGACTTGAAATATAAGAAATTAACAGTAAACGATATATTTTAAACGTAAAGTAAGCGTCATTTTCTTGAAATGAAATTATAGAAAACCGTGATTATTGACCTGTTGATTCCCCAGCACGGCTGTAGAGAAAGTGAAGGTTACAGTATTCATCCCATCCATCAGATTCAAGGAGGCAACCTGTTCAGAAGTTGGAGTTGTTTCCCTAACCTTTATTTTTTTTAAATTGGGTTTGGTTTTATCTTTGTTCATAACGGTGCTAATCGTACTCTCTAGGGAATTACCATCAGTAGTGTTTTTGGCATCACTTAAAGAAGGCGGCAATATAGAATCTTTAGATCCTGCTTTGGGTTCGGGTTTATCTTTGTTCATAACTGTGCTAGTCGTATTCTCTAGAGAATTACCATCAGTAGTGTTTTTGGAATCACTTAGAGACGGCGGCAATATAGAATCTTTAGATTCTGCTCTCCTCAAGGAGAAAGGCCAAAGTCTCCAGTTTCCAGCAGGGGAAGGGTTCTGTGTTGATGGATCATCTCCTGTATGATTTTTCTCAACTTGGTCAGCTGGTATCATGCCTTTCAGTTCAAATACATATAAACATTCAAAATACACCATGCCTAGATCCCATGAAAAATAATGATAACCAATCTTAATACAAACCTATCATACCGCAGGTTACAGAGAAGTAAACTTATTTACCAACCAGGTATTCAGCATTGAATGCTTTAGAAATACAGTCAGATTCCATCTCTTCATACAAAAAGTGTTTATAGAGACTGTTGTTTGCATAAATGATGAATCAGTATAGTACTACCTACAGGCTACACACCTTAATGTTTATTTTCAAAGCTACAATAATTACAAAGCCCTCCATGTTGCTGTTATTAATACAAGTCTACTCAAACTAAAACTATTTCTCAAAATACAGAGTCGCATCTGAATCTTTACCCAAATTGTAACTTGTTGCTATAAAATGTTTAACAATTATTATTCCATAAAAACAGTATTTTCAGTACACTATCAGAAGAGGATGAAATATAACCTCAAGACATGGATTGTTTTCCATTTAGTTGAGAGTCAACTTATACAAGGTCTCTTACCAAGGGGAAGCTTCGGAGTTGTATCTTTGATATCCCCAGAATGATGATAATCCTTGTTACCTGACTCCTCGTGTGTTAGGTTGTTTCCTTTGTCTTCATCAGGTTTTAGACATTCTAAATCATCTTTTGGAGGAAATGCACATGGCAAGGATTTTGATCTTGATTGCAGTGATTGACTTAAAGGGTAACGGACATCATGTTGATTCATAATGTCAATTCTAGAAGAAAAGTTTGGCAAGGATCCCGAATGATGCCCAACTTTCTCTCCAGCAGCTTCATTTCTAGGAATGACTATGGGACAGGATATTGCTGTTAACTTTCCAGTGTCATTCTCATAAGAAACATGATCTTCTTTATCTAAATGTTCAGGGAAGGGTGTTCTCTCGGGTCGATCATTGATTTCACTTTCATCAAGGTCACTGAAAAGGAATCTTTCATCCTCTGAACTTAGTGATGGTGATGTCCTTGATGCTTTTCTAGGTAAACAATTATCAACAGGGTCCAGAGGAGTCGATAATGTGCTGGAGAAGTCCTTGTCCTTCATATTCTCGCTTATGGCTTGGTAATCCAGAATGCTGTAGCTGGAAGGTTTGATAACATAATTGGGCTCAACTTTCTCACCTGAAAAATGTCCTAGGCTAATTTTGACAGTTTGAGGTGTTGTAGATATTGATTGCTCTTCAATATCCACCTCATTATATATAATATCACCAGAATCCAAACAATCTATTTGCTGAACCCCAGAATGGAACTCAGAGATCCCCAGTACTGGCATCCCAAGATCGGCCTTCTCAATAACTTCCACAGCTTCTGTACCCTAAAGGACAACTTTAGTGTGAGTGTCAAAGAAAACAGATTAAATGTTTGCTCGATTTAATTATGCTATGCTACAGTGGTATATGCTTCAACAAAAACGTTCTAGTTCTTTGTAAGAAAGAAAGTATTAAATGAAAAAGTAAATGCATTTAATACAATAACAAAAAAATTTCAATACTTTCTATGTATGGTGAGTAGGGGGATTAGTAGAAGTATTTTGAGGATTGAGAAAGACTCTTCAGTTATTCGAGTTGACATGTAAAAATTCCATAAAAGATTTAGTATCATTTATTATTGGACAAAACTTAAATATAGTATCATAAATACTAATGTTAATGTTCTCCAATCAAAATGGGCCACGGTTTTAATTTTATCCCAGTCATTCCTTCTAATCTTCAATGCAGCCAGCCATCTCATCTACAGTAACTAAAATCAGCCTCTCGGTGACCAGTGTTATATTTTCAATTGCTAGTTTTGATAGGAGAACTCAAATGCTAAGGTACTATTTATTTCTGTCTAATTCCGCTGGCAAAACGATAGGTGAAGACTACTTGTCTTTGAATTTACCAGATTACCTCAGATAGCAGTACAGTGGCACGATGCAAGACTTCATCATGGACATGGACGCGGACTTCTTCACATTCTGCTGCGCCATCAAGGTACATCACCTCTTCAGCTTGTTCACTAGAGCACGACACGCCCAACTTGGAGGTCTCTGGTGTTTCACGGCAAACCCCATCAGCCGAAACATCGTTTTTTGAAATATCATTACTATTATCACATGCATCAACAGCGCTCACCCCAGAAACTTCTTCTCCATTCAACTCCTTTTCCACAAGCTTCACCTTCACGCACGCAACCTGCACGTCAGACTCTGCAATATCATACACTACTTCCTTCCCATTCAAGTCACACTCACGACCAAAACAAGCTTCCTCTTTCAACTCAGCATCGTCCACGACCACATTACCATCCCCAGACGAGTTAGCAAGAACCTTTTGCCCTTGTTCCCCGGAGAGATTAGTGGACCACTTGAGGTCTAACAAGTTAGCTGCAATCTCTGCACGCTCCAACGAACCCACCCTGTTCCCAATCGCTTCACCATTACCATCTCTCTGCTTCAAAGACCTTCTCCCAAAAACAAAGCCAAGTATTCTTGAACGGCGAGAATTACTCTTTACCGCACCCTCTCCATCATAATCGCAACTCTTGGACCTGCGAGAGTGTTCGTCTTTATCATTGCCAGAAGAAGGCGGAAACATCAAATTGTCTTCTTCTTGTGCAACGACTTCCCTGAGAAAGTAAGCTTCCCCCTTATTATCGAGATGCATTTGGAAACCAGCAAGCACCCCGTTGACAGAGATATCCACCACCTTTTCCCTCGACTTCAAAACCCCCTGGAATTTGCCGAATCGAACGTACCAGGGCGACGACTTGAAACTGCCATCTTTCTGTTCCACCACCACAATATCGACGGCGCCTCCGAACGGATGAAAAGGCCCCGAAACCGTATACACGCCCTGACTCAGTATTCTCCCCACCGTTTGCATCCTCCTCGATTAATCCACCCCTTATCATAAATCCAATCTCTCTTTCGCAACACTCAAATCTCAGAAATAACAAAACAACACAACACACGGATTGGATTACATGATTGAATTACGATCATAATTAATCAACGAGGATGGATTTTAGGGGGATCGCAAAATTCTCTGTAAGCTTGAACTAAAGGATATTGGGTTTGTTTTCGGAGGAGAATAATGATTAAAACTGTGAACGGAGGGTGCAGTGTAACGCGTAAACTGGAGAAGAGAAGTGGTTGAATTTTGCGATGGGTGGAAGAGTGTGTCGCGGCGGGAGGAAGAGGTCGTTGGTGGGGAATGTGGGGCCCGCTTTCTGATTCGTGGGTTGTTTCACACCGTTCGATCCATCAATCCATGCATCTTCCTTCACGCTTCTTCATCCTCGCCATCCTCACTCACAAATTATTATATCACAAACCAAAACTCATATTTTCTATCATAACACTTTCTACAAACCCTCCGCGGACACGCCATTGTCTTCCTAGTGTAAGCAACCTAATTTAATCGCAAATCATTATAATGTCACTTTTAAGATAATTACCATTAATCATAACATAAAACTATTTTTAACTAATTTAGATTTCGACCAAATTATATAGATCTGTTATATATATGTATCGAGATAAGATAAAGAATATTTAATAAATGACGAATTTAACAAACACTAATTTAATAAAGTATACTTGACTTGTCATTTTCATCAACAAACTTGATTCAGAGATAATTGTATCTTTGTGTTCGTTAGACGAGGAGAATGCTTTACGAGGGGGATATTATAAATGGTAAAAAAAATCCAAAATCCAAAAATGTTCTATAAAGATTAAGTTTTTATATATGAATATATGAATTACAAAAAAAATAAATAAATATAGACACCGTCACTTTCCAATTATATGCCTAATATGGTTGTCTTGTCTGGAGGACCAGTGTGAAAGGCGGTATAAGACTGAACTCTGATAATGATTCTGACATGCGTCATGTCATGAGTAATGAACAATAATAACCCAGTAATGTTAGGTTGTTGTTTTGTTAGGAAAGGAAGGGACCACAAAGAACTCAAACTTTTCTGTGGATGGCTGCGCCGGTTATTCTTCTTGCAAATGGATACAACGATACAAACACATATATACACTCGGGACTTTCCACATCTACGTATATCTTCAATCTGTGGGACCATTTTGAATTACCTTCACATGTTCTTGGACTTACACCACGATTTTCAGTGTGTTTGTTTTCTCCGATTGAAACCCAGCCGAGCGTCAATCTGTGGATTTAGCACACCAGTTCATGGCTCCATACATCTAATAGTGTAGCTTAATTTGTGGTGGAGTATTCCATTACAACCTGCTATTCTAATACGTTTTCCTGAAATACTGATTGCTCCATCATTCTAATATGCAGTTAATGTCTTGAATTCTAATCTCGTCCAAAAACTTATTCTGCTTTTCCATTGGTGATAAAGCTCAGGAGTGGGAACTATACCACAAACAGTTAATTATGTGTAGTGAAATTATTGGCGACTATAATCATTCTGGAATACAAATACTATAGTTTCTCTGTTTGCACAGGAAAATTGGTTCGTTCTTGGGCTTTTGGTCCATTTGTTTCTTGACCCAATCTCATGAACAAACTGTAATTTCAGTCCATAACAATTAAATACATACAGAACAAGATGGCATGATGCGTCATTTTCAAGGACAGATCGAGTGGTCCTAAATGTGTTGGTGGGCTTAGTGGGATTGGATCATTTAGAGACCAATTTTCTTTTCTTATTTCCTTATGTTCATCCCTGAAACAAAGTTGCAGTTTTATTTGTAGTAAATTGTATGTATATCATTGAAAATTGAGTCAATTTAAACATGCGAATATGATGCATAAAGTTTATTTTATCGATAATGTGTGCGTTCTGATGTGCAACGCATAGAAAGGAAAGGAGTGGAAGTTATCAAGTTATCCTAAATATAATTACCAGATACACACGAAGAGGTACTCCATGCCCCTTTGTTGTGCATGCCTTAGTAAAGTGGAATGGTCAAACACAGCACATGCACTTTGCATATAGAATGGGATTTTGTTTCAATTCGACTCATAGTACAACAGCGATCGCAGATGGTGGTCCTCTTCATAAAGAGAACATTTTGTAAATTCTAACCCTACTTTCATAGTATATCAAAGCTCATCATTATGTTTATCATTAATTGTTCTCAAGACCTTGATGACTTTCATCACTACTGTCTCAACTTATAATTACATGTGGGGAATATATATATAGATATATATTTTCCCTGCATTATATATAACCTTCATATAATTGTTGTACTTGAAACTTTACGCCCCATTGATGCTTCTGTGACCATGCCATCCCTATCCACATTCACCACCGTTCATTGATTTAATGCATTATTATGATATAATAATCCTACCCTCCACTGCCTTTTTAATTTCATTCATTGCCTTCATGTGTAGGGGCTACAAAAAGGTGATTTGACCTTTTTGACTTTATGATTTGATGCCCAGAAAAGAAGAGTGTTTTTATAAGTAGTTAAATTTATAGTGTAATCGCATAATGATGTTGATTCTCCTTGTTCTGACCATAGGGCTTGGTTGGTTTACGTTGCGCTTTCGTAACTGTTAAGCCTGTAAAGAACATGTCCCACCCTTTACGTACGTATAAGTCAGTGACAGTTGTTACTTCACCTTCGTGATTCCATGAATACAGTCTTTCTTAGTTCTTACAATGGGGACAGGATTGTGACAACGTAGAACGGATTGTTTGGCAGGGAATCTAGTACTTTCGCCTCTAAAAATACATTTCCATTTGCCTTGTTTTTAGAAAAGTTCAAACAAAATGAAAATAAACACCACATTAGGAAATGAAAAAAATACACATAAAAAATAACAGATAAACAAAACCTCTCGTCATTGCAGATCATCTACGAGGAGAATGTCAGAGAACATAGGCAGTTTAGACTTTAAGTTTTCTGACGCGTCTCTAGCTACTACATGCGTGCTCATCATTGATATGTCAGAACTGAGAATTCCCATCAGAGTCTTATTTTAAAAAATCGTAAACATTTTTGTTTTGTTATCTCTTTCTATGGATCAGTGTAGATCAATGCATTTTTCAATATCTCGAATTTTGACTAATTTAACAGTAATTGATGGAAAAAACAATGCAGTAGAGTAAAATTATCTGTAGCCAATTTTTTTTTCTTCTCATGATTACGACACTCCAACATAAGATTTTACTTAGAAAAGTCCATCCTTCACCATTTCCATAAGGAGGAGAGGCCCATGGTGAGCGACAATTGTTCAATCACCTCATCATGGAAAAAGACTCGGTTACAGAGTTTTCTGAATTTTATGAGATACTATTCGCTACAAGACAGAAATCATCAATCTTCTCTGACTTGTATACTTTTTACACTTGCCCTTCTTGTCAAACTCCCATAATGGCGCATAATTTTTTCTGCAACCGCAATGCAGTGGTAAAATACTATTTTTTTGGTGTGTGTGAAAATAAAATACGAAAATATTATCCACATCTAAAAAACCACACCAGACTTGCATTTACCAGTTTGTTAATTATATTTCGATCATCAATGTTTATCACTTAATCACATATATTGTTTTAAAAAATAAATTTCAACCCGACGAATGTTAGAAACCAAGAATTACGTATGGGCAGCAACCAAGTGTAACAATCTTCTGACGTAGATTTAACATTACTAAAATACTATAAAACACCAAAGCTACGACAATAATGAGCAAAACTAGTAACAAAAATATTTTCTACCACGTGCGTATCAGCAATTGAGCTTCTCTTCTTTTGCAATAGAATTTTTGCAGTGAGCAATAGCAGCTTGAATGGCTGCTTGCAACTCTTCCATGGTGCTGTCATTGGAAGGAGGAAGAGCAGCGGTTGCAAGGAGAAGACCGCTGTTTGATGGAGAAGTTCTCATGGATGCCGGTGCTGAAAACTCACCTCTTCTTCCTCTCAATTCAGGCTTGGTTTTCCGAATCAAATTCCCTGAATGAGAATAAGCCTGTCCATGGAACTGTACCTTTTCTCTTTTCCCTCTGAAAAGCACTAGTGGCTGCACCATTCTCAAGTACTTCTTCAGTGCATGCATCACATCATACCCGAGTTTCTTCTTGTGCTTACTATTCTCTTTATCTTCCTTGTCTCTAACCGGACACCCTTTACGCCCTTTTGATGACCCAAACAATGAGAAACCAGGCTTGGACTTGGTTTCTTCCTTTGTGACTCTATTGTTGTGGTTTTCTTTGTTGTTGGAGTTGGTAATGCTGTCTATGGTGATGTTGCTCCTGGTGCTGGTGTTGCAGCTGGTACGTTTTTCGTCTTCTAAGAAGTCTCTGATGGGGAGAGTGAAACTGTCGACGGAGTTGGTGGAAAAGCGAGGAGAAGAAGAGAAGTGAGATAAGAGGTGTAAGGGAAGCAAGTGACCGTGGAAGAAAATGTCATCAGCAGGAGATAAATCAACAGCAAGAGAAGGTGGGGTTTTGGATTTGTCAAGGATTGTGGCGTTAGAAGAATGGAGAGAGATTGTAAAGGAGAACTCATGAGAAGGGGAAGAGGATGGTGAAGCTGCCTTGGGGACTCCTTCTTCAGTTTTCTTTTGCACATCGTTTTCTGTGTTCTTTTGGGGTTGATGATGTGTTTCCATTATTACAGTTGAGGTTGTCTTGAAGACTAACAAGTATGTGTGTGAAATTCTCGCTCTATGATCTTTTCTTTTTAGTAGAAATAGAGAGAGAGAGAGAGAGAGAGAGAGATAGAGAAAAAGGTGCTGTGATCTTTTCTTTGTTGTATGGATGTTAACAAAGCTTTATGAGGGATAAGGGAACCGAAAAACATGGAAAGAAAGAGAGAGTCATTGTCAAAGCACTGTTGGACTTGGTGTGTCTTGTTTTAAAATTTTTTTCATAAGACACCAACTGTGTGTGTATGCGTATTATTTACGTGTGATGATTAACAAGCATATTAATTATCAATAATGGATGCATATTTTTCTTCACACTTATTTGCGTTTTATGAGATGAGATGAGACGTGTTTTGTGGTGTGTCAAAATGGTTAGTGGTGCGTATTGTTGGGTCCCTATCAGTTCCAACAGCAATTGTTGTGCTGGTTTTGGGAATGAGATCACAAACATCCAAATTTGGCCACCAAAGGAAGATGGGATTGGCATGGCGGATTTCACTCGAGAAATTTTGGACCTTTTTTCCCATCAGTGCGAAGCTCCCTGCACAAAAATAAATCAATTCCAATTCCCTTGTACATTATTAAATCATAAGGATAATTGATTAGCCAACTCTAGCTAGTAGTCTAGGAGGCTAGAGCCAGACGGTGCACGGTTGAATCTTTAAACATCACCCAAAAAGAGTTTTGTACGACCAAGTCAAATTCCATGCTTTATCTTGTACCTTTTTCCGATACACTTTCCTAAACTTCGTAAAATTCACTCTTACCATGGACCTCTTTCAAGTATTTGTCAAAACGTATGTTACTTAGAAAGAAAAGAGAGACTACAGAAAAGCATAAGTAAAAGGGAATTCCTGAATTGAAAAAGAGATTTGGAGAGGGCCACGATCAGCGCCAGCTGGTGGGAATGATTCAGTTCACCCATTCATCCATTCATTGATTCATTGATGAACACGAAAGCTCAAAGAAACAGAAGCTCCAATGTCGTTTAGGGAAGAAAGCGTGGCCATCATCTACGTGTACATTGACTACTGCTCTATCCTATTCGTATACTCTTCTTTTTCTCTCGAGAAAAATACTAACAATTTTTTTATATACATAAAACTCGTATAGTATACTATACATATATATATATAGTTAGGTGGTGGGGTGGTGACAGACCCACACACACGTGCATGCGGTGGTGGTCCATGAAGCAAGCATAAAGGAATTTTGTATTCATGGTTAAGGTCAACATCTTAATCATGGAGCCATTATTTGGTTCGACTGAACCATCCTCACCACTTTCACCCTTATATTTTATATTATATTCCACATTTCTCGTCTTTTTCTTTTTCAGATAATTAGAGAGGGAAAATGTTATTTGGACAACAAAAGTTTGACACAATTTTGACAACGGCGACGTGGCAGCTGTGCATTGGCTCAGTGAATTGAAAACAAACCAGAAAAAACCCAAAATACCCCTCACTCCGGTTCATTGAGCCAATGCACAGCTGCCACGTCGCCGTTGTCAAAATTGTGTCAAACTTTTGTTGTCAAAATAACATTTTCCATTAGAGAGAGAACCTATCATACCATTGCATAAAACAAATCCTTCACAATCCCACAACATAGAGATCCTTTTGCTTATTAGCCATTCAATATCCACCCCTTTTTCCCAGCCAACAACGAAACCTACCTTACTTTGGATCGCATTCAGGATCACTCATATGCATTTCTTTCGTTTCAACTTGTCAGAGAAAAAAAAAGTACTTCATCTTTTTCAGAAAATCCCCGAGAAAACGGATCACGTTTTCATCTTAGCATGCATCATTGCAATATTGAATGGATTTGCAGCAACTGCTTTATTCGATTTTGATGTTTTCATGCATATTCCTAAACAATTAATTAATGTACGTATCCCCAACATTCATATTTACTTAGTTTTTGCTGACTTTTGTTGTCAATTCGACGTGATTTAGCTCTTGTATTGACCTAATTAAGGATTTACTAAGCGATTTTTTTAAAGATCACATACTTTGCAACTGTAAGTTCTATGGCCTCCAATAAGAGTAAAATAACATACCTATTGTAGTTTAGCTAAACCTTATCTTTTTGCACTTCTCACTGGAATTTGACCTAACTCCAGAACTATGAGAAAATGGCAAAATATATGTGCTGTAAAGCAAAATGAGAATTCTTACCAGCTTTTTCGAGGAAACAAAGGACTTCTTAGACGTAATTGCATGAGGAAGCATAAATTCTCTAGAGACAGATATCTATCTTTTTTCTTGGCTTTTAATTGGATTTAGCACATGAAATGACTACTCAATTATCTTTATATATCAATCATTACGCATTCCATCCCAACCAAAGAATCATAAACAATTATCACACTGATTATTTGGTTTCCTCTTATATCATTCATTTTGCTTATTGAATTTCTACCTTCCTTTAGAAAATAAATAATACTATTATATTAATGTTTATATAATAGTAGTTGTTTTTTCAACTTCAAAATTAATTGGATAATCACCATGTTTTAGTCAAAAATTCTTTTACGATTTTCTCCTCTCTTAAAAGATATTTTAAAGGATTAAGAGAATAAAGTATATTTAAATTATCTTGAATCTCAATCATTAAATAATGTAATATTATTAAACATATATGAAAATAAACAAAACACAAAAATGTTACATAAATACTTATTTACATAAGATCAATAATAAATAATATCTAGAAGACAGCATAATGAATAGGTAATAAATGTTTTTTTACACTAAATATAATCACTTGAAAACTACTGTTAGGGCAATATAGTTATATTAAAAGGTAAATTTTTAATTTTAATATTTATAAAAAAAAGATAAAAGATAAAAAGACGAATGGGAGTGGATGTAAAAATTTATTGAGTATCAAAAAGTGAAACCTTTACTAATATTAATATTGTATTGTGCTCATACAAATGTCATTCATTTAATCTAGAATAAAATTACATATCAATTAATTCAGAAGTGAAAAAATTGGTTGGTGATTTTATTATACAATCTAATTGTTTTTCAAACTTTTTGATTGTAGAATATGAAATAACTTTTTTTACAATATTGTTAAACAGTCATATGTAATCCAAATTGTATTTTTAAATTATTTATGCTGAGTTATATAATTTAAAAGTCATTCCAAATTATGTGAAAGCGGTTTTGAAGAAAATTTATGTATCGATTGATTTAAATTTTCAAAGTACAAAGACAAATAAATTTTAAAAAGTTCCTTAATAAAAGATAGTAATATAATTTGCAATTTGAATATGTAAAATTCATACAAATTAATCAAAACCATTTCTACTAAACACGTTGTGTCAGTAGAATTCATTTCTAAAATTATATCAAACAAAATTAAACTAACATATAGAAGGTCCTTGTAGTCAGCGGCAAGAACATGAGCATGAACGAAGTTAGTATAAATTGCAAAATCTCAATGTTGAAACCGTTTTTTCCTTCTTCTTTCCACTTTCGTTGTGCATCTTCTGTCCTTTCTCTGCTTCTCAGGTACGTTAGATTCTCAATTCTCATTTCACATCGCTTTTTCTTTTAATTCTCTTCCAATGGACATATTCCTCTTTTCGTAGTTTGCGCATAGAGAAGCACATTTAAGTTACATTTGTTGTGAGAACAGAAGATCTACCCAAGCAGATTCAAAGAATTAGGAAACAAATAATTGAATGATTGCAACCTACCGATTTTCTTCAACTATAACAATCTATTGATAATTGTTGAGCTGCATGATAATCTAGATTTCGCGCAAGTTCTTGTTCGGGTCGTGATTTCCTGTGCATTACTCGTTGAATTGCTTAGTGAATTTTGTTCGGAATACTTATGATAACGGTTTGCTTTTATTTTGATGATATCGTTTGGCCTCTCGCTTGGATTCTGATGCTATGTTTCCATTCTGTTTTGTTGCGTGAATCTTTGCTAGGCTTGACAGAGAGAGACTATAGATTGTTGCGGGGTGGTCCATGTGTGTTTCCATTGCACCGTTGCAAAGCCATTCACCTAGATCGTATTGGAATTCGCTTTTAGGCGCGGAATACACTCTGAAATACATAATCTTAAGCCAAAATGGATTGTCAAATTCCAAATTCATTTTTTAGGATTTCAGATTAGGTAAGAGCTTACATGGTCAAATTTCAAATTCATTCTAGTCCCCTTAGATCTCAAGGGGATCTCAAGGGGATCTCAAGGGGCTGTTCCAAAAGATAAAAAAACTAGAGACCTTCGATGCAATCTTACTCAAGCATGTCACGATTAAACATGTCATCATCAAGCATACTGATATGATTTTGGTAGCGATCGACTTGCCTCTTCCCACATATATGGTTGAAGTGCTGACAAGACTTTAGTGGCAACTTAGTCTAGTGCCTCCTATAAAATAAAATGAAATGGAAATTTTACACGTATGTGACACCTCTTGAACCAGACGTTCATTAAACTTGGATGATAACACACACTTTGGTATCTCCTAAAAACTAATAAAATAGGAAAATCTCAACATGCACAACGCTTTACACTACTACGCAAAAAACCAATATTTTGTACATTATTTATCACTTATTTCTCTTTTTTTCCTCTTCTTGTCTCTTACTTGGCTTGGTGTCATTTTTAAAACAAAACCTTTACTCGAAGAGTAGAACTTGTCATCTTCCACAAACATTAGTATAAAAAACCTTTCGTTTCTAATTAAGTCACTTTCTTCAA